TTAGGACCACTTCTTTGAAGCGTTTGAGTATTTTCCATTGAAAATAGCACCAACGTTAAAACCTAGATGAAAAAATGAAACCCATTTATATGATGACAAAGTTCAAATAAAAACATTCACTTTTAAAGTTTTTTTTTGTTCTCATTGCCTGAAATAAAAAAAGTATAGTCATAATAAACTATTACCTACACAACCATAGATTTTAAACATTTCTTATTTCATTATTTAAGACGGGCACTAGTTAATTCATGACTAATCAAAGCTTCCTTACCCAATCGCAATGTATTTTTAGCAAAGTACCATAAAAACTAAGAAGCAATCTATAAGTATAATACCCCTGCCGTAGCAAACCTGCAGACTTAGCGAATTTCCATTTGCCTGATTGGATTTACACTAAAATATCTCCTTAAAAATATCACATTTATTCCCTATTAAAATAGAATTAGTTTAAGGAGTACTTAGGTTTGCTGCAACAGGGAGGGTAAACAAGTTTTTTTTTAAATGTAAAATGTTAATAGATACTATCGTTTCGTAAGAAATTAATGTATTTTAAAAATTTGGTCAAAATATGTTCATAAACATGCAAACTACAACAGTTGACTTATTCTCTATAAGAATAACATGGGAATTTTAAAATTAACAATTTTTTTGAATTTTCTCCGTAACCATTAGGCGCATAATAACGCTTCAATATACTAAATTATTTGTTTTTTTAAGCTCTTCAAAATGGTTTAGAAAGAAATTGTGAAATTTTGTGTTTTTAGGGTCAAAAATGGGAAAACCCTATTTTTACCCCATAAAACCCCCCATAAACCCCGTGTTCCCATAGTCCGATCATGCTGGTTCGCGAACTCATTCAAGTTTATCCCACTTTACACCTTTAAACCAAATTTCATCAAAATCGGACAAAAATTACTCAAGTTATCGCGTTTACGGACACACATATATATACAGGGTGTTGAAAATGTCTGGAACCAACATTATATCTAGTGAGTGGTTAAAGAAAAACAACTGATATTTTGTGCACGGATATACTATGGTTTTACCTATCTTTTGGTGCCTTATGCAAATTTTTACCACTTATAGGGAACGTCCTGTGGAGGATGCAGTAAAAGGTTTTAATGGAAGCCTATGGTAAATGATACATCATTTTAAAGGCCATTTTTTTCTGAGTAAGGAGCCACAAGTTTCATCTCAAAAGGACCACCCTAGCGAAAATGGCGACTGTTTGAAATTTAAAAAACCACTTATAGGGAACGTTATGTGGAGGATGCAGTAAAAGGTTTTAATGGAAGCCTATGGTAAATGATACATCATTTTAAAGGCCATTTTTTTCTGAGTAAGGAGCCACAAGTTTCATCTCAAAAGGACCACCCTAGCGAAAATGGTGACTGTTTGAAATTTAAATATTCCGTTCCCTATAAGGGGTTTTTTAAATTTCAAACAGTCGCCATTTTTGCTTGGGTGGTCCTTTTGAAATGAAACTTGTGGCTCCTTACTCAGAAAAAAATGGCCTTTAAAATGATGTATCATTCACCATAGGCTTCCATTTAAACTTTTTACTGCATCCTCCACAGGACGTTCCCTATAAGTGGTAAAAATTTTCATAAGGCACCAAAAGATAGGTAAAACCATAGTATATCCGTACACAAAATATCAGTTATTTTTCTTTAACCACTCACGAGATATAATGTTGGTTCCAGACATTTTCAATACCCTGTATATACTAGCTGTACCCGCGGGCTTTGCCCCGCTTAACTTCATAAGTATTTGCATGGCTCAATCACGTCTTGGTTGAAGTTCGTTCGCTACGCTCACTCACCTTCAGGTTGGAAATCGTTCCCTGCGCTCACTTGTTTTCAGGTTAGCTCGTTCGCTACGCTTACTCGCCTCCAGGTTGATGTTCGTTCGCTACGCTCACTCACCTTTTGATTGCAAATTAGCTGTTGTCATAAATTTTAAAAAATCATCCCTTTTATTGTTTATAATACAGTACTTTTATAAAGGTTTTTATGTTTTAATATTTAACATTGGAGAATTTAAACGTTGTTAAGTGCACAGGTGTGCTGCGATTGGGGTTTAATACATTTGGACTTATTCAAAAGTAAAATAGTTTTCTGTGCTGCACTCTGTAGAAACACTGTGGCACTATTTCAAATCATGGCTAATGCTAATACAGAATGTTTTAATTATTCAAACCTACAAAACAGTTGGTAAAAGTAAACATCTGCTTTTAAATTATATTTATTTGTAAACATTGTAGATCAAAAAGTCTGACATTGGCCCACTTAAAACCCTCTGGGGCAGAGCCCTTTTGATAGATCTGCACCAAACTTCACTCGAACCATCCTTGAAAGATGCTTAATAATGCCTGAAATTTTCATTACAATCTGTTATTTGTAAACATTGTAGATCAAAAAGTCTGACATTGGCCCACTTAAAACCCTCTGGGGCAGAGCCCTTTTGATAGATCTACACCAAACTTCACTCGAACCATCCTTGAAAGATGCTTAATAATGCCTGAAAGTTTCATTACAATCTGTCGAGCGGTTTCGGAGTCCATAACGTATATACATTCGCACACACACACACATACATAGTTCCTCTTTTATAGATATATATATATACAGGGTGAGTTTTAATTGCCCCCCCCCCAACTTTTTTCTACATTTTTTCAAATATCAATCCCAGACCACTTCCAAACATTGTTGGGTAGTAAGTACTTCATTTTGACAAGGTGGTCATTTCCGGCCGCCATCTTGGATCCGCCATATTGGATGCAAATTTTTTTTTCAAATGTAAAGGTGGGGTTGTGACCCATTATTTCGAACTACATTTTTACCCTAATTACAATGCCACAAACCGTTTTTAAAAATCTTGATTCATTCTAAAGTTACGAGGGCTTTTTAAAACTTTATTTTTAGCCCATTTTAACATTGTGCATTTACAAACTAAGACCATAATCCCAAAATAGTGCTAGATAATGATAAGTATACACTACCAGTAATTGTCCACCTATTTTCACTTGGTTATGACTGATGTATTTTTTTCGGCCGCCATCTTGGATCCGCCATTTTGAAATGTGATAAATTATTTTAAATATGAAGGGGGTGTTGTGACCCATCATTTCGAACTACTTTTTTAAGCTGAACTTAATTCCATAATCCGTTTTCCATTTTCATTTTTTGATTTTGAAATATTGACATTTTTAACAAAAAAATTCAATATTTCATAAATAAAACTTGATAACAAAAAATGGATTGCGGCATTGAGTTTAGCTTAAAAAAGTAGTTCAAAATTATGGGTCACAACACCCCCTTCATATTTAAAATAATTTATCACATTTCAAAATGGCGGATCCAATATGGCGGCCGAAAAAATACATCAGTCATAACCAAGTGAAAATAGGCGGACAATTACTGGTAGTGTATACTTATCATTATCTAGCACTATTTTGGGATTATGGTCTTAGTTTGTAAATGCACAATGTTAAAATGGGCTAAAAATATAGTTTTAAAAACCCCTCGTCACTTTAGAATGAATCAAGATTTTTAAAAACGGTTTGCGGCATTGTAATCAGGGTAAAAATTTAGTTCGAAATAATGGGTCAAAACCCCACCTTTACATTTGAAAAAAAAATTTTGCATCCAATATGGCGGATCCAAGATGGCGACCGGAAATGACCACCTTGTCAAAATGAAGTACTTACTACCCAACAATGTTTGGAAGTGGTCTGGGATTGATATTTGAAAAAATGTAGAAAAAAGTTGGGGGGGGGGACAATTAAAACTCACCCTGTATATATATATACATATATATAAAAATTTGAACGAATGGTATTTTTGGCCTCTGGGGACATCAAAATGAAAAAGTAAATCGGTCCCGGGCCTAGGTCTTACCATGCCACCTACGGTAATAGCTACTTCCCTATAGGGAAATTCGCTAAAAGAGGATGTTTGTATATATATATATTTGTTTGGCAGTGATAAACTCAGACACCGCTGAACCGATTGCCACGAAACTTGGTACGGAATAGGTTTATACACCATCAATTTCGTGATCCGTCCAATCGGCTCCACCCCAGTGGCTCTGGAGTTTCCCATGTTAACCTTCTTATGAGAAATGGAATTAATGACAGCTGTTTCAATTAAACAAGTTGGTTCTGTCCACTGAGCTAGTTCTGTCCTATAATGTTCAATAGCATTAAAGTTACAAGGATTACCAACAGGGTGCAGCACTATTATTTCTTTTACATTTATGACAACAGCCGTATGTTTTATCTATGCAACAGCTAATTTGCAACCAAAAGGTGAGTGACCGTAGCGAACGAACTTCAACTGGAGGCGAGTTAGCGTAGCGAACGAGCTAACCTGAAGGCAAGTGAGCGCAGCGAACGAGCTCCAACCTAAAGGTGAGTGAGCGTAGCGAACGAGCTCCAACCTAAAGGTGCGTGAGCGTAGCGAACGAGCTCCAACCTAAAGGTGAGTGAGCATAGCGAACGAGCTCCAACCTAAAGGTGCGTGAGCGTAGCGAACAAACTTCAACCTAAAGGTGAGTGAGCGTAGCGAACGAACTTCAACCAGGACGTGATTGAGCCATGCGAACGAGATCATCTTGAAAATTAAGAAGTTAAACGGGGCAAAGCCCGCGGGTTACAGCTAGTTAAATATAATATTCTATTTGCCCATAATCAATGGTAGTATTAGGTTTTTAGATGACTTTGATTTTATTATGAAAGAAAACCGGTAAACACTAGCAGACAGCTCTTGAAATTTAAAATTTTATTATAACACTGTTTTGTTTGACAAATAAAATGTGAGTGACATTGACATTAATTAGATTTACATGGAATGATGGAATAGATGTGGAATGATTGGAATTTGGAATGGCTGGTTCCATATGGCGATGGCGGTGTCAATTTCCTAAATAATGGGTAGATTTGTTTATGTTTACTATGTTCATTCAAGAACTTCTTGATATCAACAACAGAGTTAATAGAAGTTGTATAATGATAATTTATTGTTTGGTTACTGATCATAGGTTATTATGACCAACAAATACTGAGAAACAAGTAAGTTCAATTTATAGCCTAAGTAGTTCTAAGTTAGGCTAATATAACTTAAGGTTCAAATTATACAACTTATAAACTCTTGTTAGTTAATGAACTCTTAACACTTAACAATGAACTCAAAAAGGTTCATTGTTTACTCTTTATGTAACTTACCAATCATTCATTGATTAGCGTGGTGATCTGGAATTAGTATTCAGCAATTAGAGTTTTGACACTAAGTAGGTATGCCTAGTTTAAGTGAAGGGGGAGGTAGGTAGGCCTACCTCACTAATATAAGTTATAACTTGAATGTCAGTATAAAATATAGGTGCATTTAAATATCATCATGAGTAATTTTTTCGACAGTATTTTCTACGCTTAGCATATTTTGTAGAGAGTCGTGCCGGTATGCCTTTCGGGATTATAGGCTAACTTGCTGGGCTGTACATCCTAGAGACTGCATTTTTTTGCAAGTCTAAAGGATGCCTAGCCTATTACAGGGCAGAGATATACACAATTACAACACTAGATCTAGGGACGTGTAAGTTCTTAGGCCTGTGCAGCACAGGTTAGCCTGTATGGCACAAATGCCGTCTCAGGCTGGTGTTGTTCTCCTGATTTGGATCCCGAAAGGTATCAGAGATGAAAATAGCAAAACTAAATTTACCATGCCAACACAAAATAAATAATACTCTGGCTGTATCTTTTAGTCATATTGTAATTTCATGCTTTATATTGTTCTATTGAGCCCTTTTCTTTTATTTTGTATATGTTGATGCATCCTATGCAATTATTGTATTGTCTGAAGCAATAAGAATATAGAGCAATAGGGTCAGTCCATATCAAATCAACACACTTTTAACATATTTTTTACCTTACCATCTTAGATTTTGATGAAATTTGGTATATAGGTTACCTTTATGAACACTAAAAAAAATACCAAATTTCAGCTCAATATCTCAACCCATTCCCAAAATACGGCCATTTGAAATTTTCAAAAAACGGTCAAAATCGCGCTGCGGTAAAACTTTAAAATAGTCATAACTCTTCTCATGTTTAAGCTAGAAACATGGGAGAGGTGTCATTGTTTAGCCCTTTTTATGCCCTTTCTAATGATATGCAACACATAATAGGTTATGAAAACAAAAATTTTGTCAAATTCAAAAATAAATTTTCAAAATAAAATATTTTGAAAGACACATATTTTATTTTTTTCAAAAAATTATTTTAAGTTTGTCATATTATCACTAATGTGTACACCAAGTTTGGTTATGGGATTGCAATGGGTTCATGGTTAAAATAATGTTTTATTAGTAATGGTTTTTACTACATCAACGCAATTTAGGTTAAAATAAAATAAAAATCTCATTAAAAAAATCTGGGTGGATAAAGATCCATAGGAAAATAGGTATAATATCAATGTTACCAGTTATTAACTAATTGAAATTAACTAACTGGAAAAACCTACAAAGTATATCCCTTGAAAATATTCTTAAAATAATAACATGATAAAAAAATGGATTTTATAAAATTAGCTTAAGGCGTATTTGGATATATTTTTTTGCTTCCGACATTTTTCATTTATATTAATTCATATATTTAATTGCAAGCTGAGTAATACTGTTTCCAGCAATTGTGCCATTATCATCTCTTGTTTCTACCTGTAGGAAGTTTTCATGTCTCTACTTGTTTTTCAAGTTGATACAAGCTCAAGTCCACTAGCACTACAGAGTTTGTTCAGTTTGCATTTGAAGTCTGTGGTGCACACATATCACAAGAGATGATAATGGCACAATTGCTGGGAACAGTATTACTCAGCTTGCAATTAAATATATGAATTAATATAAATGAAAAATGTCGGAAGCAAAAAATATATCCAAATACGCCTTAAGCTAATTTTATAAAATTCATTTTTAGCGAATTTCCCATAAAGGAAATAAGCTATTACCGTAGGTCTCATGGTAAGACCTAGACCCGGGACCGATTTACTTTTTCGTTTTGAGGTCCCCAGAGGCCAAAAACACCATCCGTTCAAATTCATATATATATATATATATATATATTTATACCTATATATATATTTATATATGTGTCCGTTAACGTGATAACTCGAGCAAAATTGATCTGATTTTGATGAAATTTGGTACAAACGTGTAAACCTACATTTATTCGAACGAGTTCGCGAACCAGCATAATCGGACCATGGGATCAGGGGTTTATGGGGGGTTTTATAGGGTAAAAATGGGTTTTTCTCATTTTTGACCCTAAAAACTTTAAATTTCTAAATTTCTCTCTATACCAGTTTGAAGAGCTTTAAAAAACAAATAATTTAGTATATTGAAGTGTTTTTGAATGTTCATTGACTACAGAGAAAATTAAAAAAATTGTAAATTTAAAATTCCCATGTTATTTTTATGGAGAATAAATAAACTGCTCTAGTTTGCTTGTTTATGGATATATTTTAATCAAATTTGGCAATTTGGTTTATTTCATACTAAGCTATCAATATTTCAATTGAAAAAACACACCTCAACATCTTCCCCGTAGCAGCAAACCTAACTACTCACTAAAATTGTTATTTAAATAGGAAATAAATCTGAAAATTTATAGGGAATATTTTAGTAGAAATCAAGCCGGGTAAATGGAAATTTGCTTAGTATGCAGGTTTGCTGCGACGGGGGTATATGTATATATTTATATATATATATATGTGTGTCCGTTAGCGCAATAACTCTAGCAAAAATGATCCGATTTTGATGAAATTTGGTACAAACGTGTAAACCTAAGTTTATTTGAACGAGTTCGCGAACCAGCATGATCGGACCATGGGAACGGGGGTTTATGGGGGCTTTTATGGGGTAAAAATGGGTTTTTCCCATTTTTGACCCAAAAAACATAAAATTTTGCAATTTCTTTCTTAACTATTTTGTAGAGCTTAAAAAAACAAATAATTTAGTATATTGAAGCGTTATAATTCGCCTAATAGTTACGGAAAAAATTCCAAAAAATTGTAAATTTAAAATTTCTATGTTATTCTTATGGAGAATAAGTACTGTTGTAGTTTGCTTGTTTATTAACATATTTTGCCCAAATTTGGAAAATGTTTTTATTTCTTACCAACTATTAACATTTTACATAAAAAACACTTTTACCCTCCCTGTTGCAGCAAACCTAAGTATGTTTTAAACTGATTCTTTTTAAATAGGGAATAAATGTGATATTTTTAAGGAGACATTTTAGTGTAAATCCATTCACGGAAATGGAAATTCGCTTAGTCTGCAGGTTTGCTGCGGCGGGGGTATTTTATCATGTTATTATTTTAAGAATATTTACAAGGGATGGATATACTTTGTAGGTTTTTCCAGTTAGTTAATTTCAATTAGTTAATAACTGGTAACATTGATATTATACCTATTTTCCTATGGATCTTTATCCACCCAGATTTTTTTAATGAGATTTTTATTTTATTTTAACCTAAATTGCGTTAATGTAGTAAAAACCACCACTTATAAAACATTATTTTAACCATTAACCCATTACAATCCCATAACCAAACTTGGTGTACACATTAGGGATAACATAAACAACTTAATATATTTTTTTGAAAAAAATAAAATATGTGTTTTTCAAAATATTTGATTTTGAAAATTTATTTTTGAATTTGACAAAATTTTTGTTTTCATAACCTATTATGTGTTGTATATCATTAGAAAGGGCATAAAAAGGGCTAAACAATGACACCTCTCCCATGTTTCTAGCTTAAACAGGAGAAGAGTTATGACTATTTTAAAGTTTTACCGCAGCGCGATTTTGACCGTTTTTTGAAAATTTCAAATGGCCGTATTTTGGGAACGGGTTGAGATATTGAGCTGAAATTTGGTATTTTTTTTTGTCTTCATAAAGGTAACCTATATACCAAATTTCATCAAAATCTAAGATGGTGAGGTAAAATAGGTGTGTTGATTTGACATGGACTGACCCAATAAGAATAATAAAGAGTATTTTTATTATTTACTATTTGCTTTCCTATTAAAATTCCCATATCAAAATAAACATAAAACTTAATACTGTATCTATGTACCGTACTCAGTGGGCCTATTCATATGCCTACATTCCTCTCATTTGTTTATCTAGGACCAATTTGTCTAGAATAAGTTTTACAAGGCCTATTAAATTAGCTCTATATTATTTCAATCTGTAGATTTAATATGACGAAAGATAGGACTAACTCCGTTCCAGTAAGGTGGTCAGCTTTAGTTAAATCTCTGAGGGTTTGTTGTAGGCTAAGTATTCTTCAGATTTTATATTTTCAATACACGAGGTGAGCAAGTTAAAGAAACCTATCTATAATGTTTTACTAATCATAACCTTACATATTTTCAAATTGCTGTTTTGCTGGTTTTAATAATAGCTTTAGATAGGCTAAGTTTAATCCCTCTTTATTAATTTGTCTATATATTTTATAGCTGAAACTGGAGATAACTTACAATGACTGGGCATATTGAGGATTATGAGGTTTTAGAAGTTATTGGAACAAGTTCATTTGGCACCTGTTACAAAGTCCGGAATAAACTCTCAGGACAAATATTTGTTTGGAAAGCAATTGATTATGGATCCATGACTGAAGAAAAGAAGCAGGTTAGTAACTTAGCTCACTTAAAATGTTTTAAAAGTAGGCCTAGCATTTCCCTTGATTTCTGAATACCTTAGGCTATAGCTTCTATGGTCATCTGTAATAGTAGGCCTACCTATTAGGCCTACTTTGATTGATCATCCTTAAAACAGAAAGTACTCATCTTTAAAAAAAGTGAGTTGTAGAATCAAGGTGTTTGCGAAGTATACAAATGGTTCCCAGTCCCAACCTGGAAATGGTTTCCATCTAATGGGCGATTTGGGTTCGCCCAGGGAGGAGCAATATATTAATTGGTGGGGGTGATAAGTTAGTTCAAAGTTGGAAAAACTAAAACAGTGCTGTAACTTAAAGTAGAATCTTTACTATTGTGACAAAGGGTAGCGTTTTTTTACAAACTCTTGAGGAAATAATTGAGCGTAAAATAGGATTGTGATTGGCAAAATCCTACAGTGTTCATGCCCCAACAATGCACTGAAGTGTAAGTCGCGACTGTTGTGAGGTAGTTGAATGACTAGTTATTTTTAGCTAGCAAGGTCACTGCACATGCCGCAGCCCAACTGTCGTTCAGTGTTGTGAGTGCGTTGTTACTACTGGTGACTATCAAACCTTCGTTTCAATCATAAGACACCAGTTAGGCTGGCCGCACACTGATCCAGCATTTCACCTGAAGCAAGTGTTGCGAGACAAAATGTTTCGCTGGGTACGAGTTCCCCATGTATTTCAATGGGACACCGCACACTGATCAAGCAAACGTTTGGAGGCGCCTCGCAACGCCTTGAAACATTTAAGCAGTTGCTCAACGAATGGATCCCATACAGCACGATGTTTGATGTTTCAAGGAGCAAAACGTTCTGCGCATGCGCCAAATCCATTCTAGCTGGTAAAGCTTAGTGGCTTAGTGGCTAGTTGTTTAAAAAATATCTTTTCTTTGAAAAATGAATTTAGAAGTTTTGTTGTATTATATTTTGAATTTCCATTGCACAATATTGTTGTTTAATTTTTCTTGCTATACCACTTTGGTAGTCATACAGTCCATGCAAAGTAGTAAAATAATTAAGAAACAAGAGGTTCTCCCCACAAATTCACGGGTGTACATAAGCCACCATTAAATTAATTTAATCAACTTTGATTTTATATTTAATTTAAAGGGCCCAAGTTCGAGAAATTGTCATCTGAAAGTATGTTAAGAGCAGTGGAACCTTCATACCTTAACCTTAAGTCCTAAGGTGGCCGAGGTGGGTACGGTTGTACCTGAACTCGCCGCTCTCTTTCACGATGTCTTTAATACTTTAATACTTTTCAATGAAATGGCGACCTGTTAAAGATCGGTGACAACCTCTTGGAACGAACAACATACATGGTTTGTTAATCTCATATTCATCGTGTTTCAAACACCTTTAATCACTCACTTGTATAAACAGCTAGAAATAGGTTCACTGTCCATTCACTAAGTCTGGCCTTGATTCACCGCACCTCTTTTAAGAACATAAAAGTAAATAATAAAATAACTAAACAAAAATGTTAACAAACAAACTATATTGTCAATTTTATTGGCCAGCTGTTGTTCACTAAATTAATCGAATAACGTTAACTTCCTAAACATGCAAGGCGTAGCCCTTTGGAAATCAGCCTGTGGGGAAGAGCCCTTAGGGAGTTCGTCCATATCAATACTTTTCGGCAAATCTACACACTCTAAGCTTCATTTTGATATGCCATATGCCTATATTTGTATTTGGTAAATGGCCTTAACCGTTTACATAAAATTTGATTGTATCACTTTAATAATATAATAGATTAGCATGGTTACTCAGTTTATTAATTATTATTTATATAACCATCAGGACATTATCTAATAATAATTTCTTACGGTATTTAAAACCCTTCCTATAAAATAGTCTAGCAATTATTCGACAATAACATTTCCCTGGATCTGATTTAATTTCTGAGAGGAAAGCTGTCTATCAACAGATTGATTGGGTGAACCCAATTTTGTCTTTCTATTTAGTCCAGCGTTTGGCAAAAACTGACATACAGCAATAGCTACGCGGATTTCCTCGTCACATTTATGTTAAAACAATACTGTAGTTAAACACAATATTTATTCTAATATTTACTTTTCTTAATTTTGCTTGAAACCAAATGCTGAATCATGCTTGAACCTCCCGTACACTGGAGAAGCAAATAAACAAAACGCTTCAAGCAAATCGTTTTGCAACACTTTGCTTCAGGTAAAATGCTGGATCAGTGTGCGCCCAGCCTTAGTAGGCTTCTGGAGAGATACCAAGTTTAAACAAAACTTAGTTTATTTTCTGTACCTTTTACATAACTTAAGTCCATCAGATCGACCATCTAATCGTCAAAAATGTTTTGTCTATGTTAATGCACTAGCTGAGGTGTGATTAACTCATGCCAAGATCATCAAAGTTGCTTATTGTTCTGTTAAAAACCGATTGTAAATAAATTGTTGTTGGAAAAATTTTATAACATGTGAGGGGTTAGCTAAAAATTATATGTGTGACTACACTAGTTTATGTGTGCAACACATTGTAAACAATAAATACACTAAAACCTTGTTTTAAGATCTTAATCTTAAATAATTGTGTCAGGGAGGATACCCCTCGTTTCTGAAACCTGAAAACCACAGTAACTTAAGTTGCTTCCCCTTGTACACAGTTTTTTGGCAGCACCCTTGCAACTCGTGTTATTTGTCTTCCTATGTTGATGTCTTCAGTAGGATAACCCTTTGTCTACATAAAGTTATTATGCGTGTCCATCTAATTGGTTTTGATTTTTTTGTTTAGCACCATTTCTTAATGTTCTGGACACAACTGTTTTGGTTAATGATGTTAATGTTAACAGTAATAAATAGTTTTTTTATTTTACATTTTAGCCTACTATTCACTTAACCTTTTCCAAAAATTAAATTAGTGAAACAATTGAGGCTTAACATTACCAAAGTAAAGAGGCGATGGCCGATAAAAGGTTGGGATCCACTGGTATGGACCAAATTTTGACTTGTATCTCACTTATATATAAACTAAGAGAGGCCAAAATAGGCTACCCTTAATTGTTGCCACGAATCTGATTTTTTGTCCTTTTTGGTAAGACTTGTCTAGGTTAGAATTTCATTATAAAGTCTAGATCGGGATCTTGCAAAAAGCTCACCTATCACATTTGTCGGTAATTGTAAGTTCTTTTTTTTAATTGAGACAGAATTTAGTTTGAAGTTAGTTTTATTTTTACTATTCAAATTCCTTGAACTACTCACCCACTGTGATACCTTATCTTTGTTAAAGTTGCTGGTTTCCGAGGTAAACCTACTAAGTGAGCTTAAACATCCGCACATTGTGAAGTACTATGACCGCATCATACACAAGGAGAGCACAACCATATACATAATTATGGAGTGGTGTCAGGGAGGCGACCTAGCAACGCTCATACACAAGTACAAGAGGTTAGTACATAGTCCATGTAGTAGTATCTCGGATTCGATAACTCTCGGCCAGAGAATCCCTAAATCCTATTGCAGTAAATCTGTGATTGTTTCATCAGTAAAGTCCCACTACTCGGCACATATTCATTCGGCAAACCTGTGGAGAATATTATGGATGTTCCAGATATCTCTTTACATACTCGTTACTTACTTGTTGCGGATTTATACAGTTCATGCCGTCCAACCGCCCCCAGCCTCTACACTTTCTGTTGGCGAAGTCCCCTCGTCGCCATATTAGCTTATTTTTGCACAAACATTTACAACAAATCAAGAAGATAATCCAATAAAAAGTCAAATCAGCGTACGGTAGGTTGGAAAGTTCTAGCATGTCTATCTTTTGGTTAAAAGCTAAATAATTTTCATTTCAATAAACTATTTTGATGTTTATTTTAGCTTATTTATAAAAAAAAACAATTTCGCTATGCACATTTTTGGATTTATTTTTTTTTAAATTTTAATTAATTATTTATTTTTATTCAACCAGATGTACAATTTATTTTATTAGAATGAAAATTTTACAAAAAAGAGTAGAGTACCGGTACAATCAGAATTTAACAATTAATTTTTACACAAAAAAAAAATTTTGAATCTCAGCTCTATTTTCAAATTTCTTTGCTGACCGCCATTTCTTTCTAGTTCGTCTCATAAACATACGGGTTGCCCTTAAAACTGCACAAACTGTTCTTGATCGTATCCAATTAATCACCAAACTGTATGGTTTTTCCATTTTTCTGATAATTTTTCAGCTATAACCCTTTAAAAACATTTGGAATTCATTCTCAAAAATTCCATCAACACTTGTGACAAGGGGAGTAAATGATGTATGTTGTTGTTCTCAAGTTTTTGTTCACAAACAATGCCTCTATCTGAGTTTCCCATACGCCTCTACAAGCTAAATCAGTTATTAGTGCAGGTTTGTTTAGATGACTGACTTCTGCTATCAAGGGCTCTTTAATGCAGTTTCCCCAGGCTTGTTCAATCATGTTACCTATGGTGTCTCTTACTTCATTGTGTCTTTTTATTATAATACCACCATTGCGACATTTCAGAGCATGCATTGAACTCATTTCCGCATTCTTCACATTTTAATGGGAGGTTTACTGGTGTTTTCCCATAACGTAGAGCAAGAGCATCCCTAAATTCTTGTGAGGACATGTCCAGATTAAGTTTCTTCAGAGGCACGATTGATGGCCATCATCCATGTTTTGCTTTAGGTCCTGCATTGCGCATTATAATTTTCTGAGAATGTTTCCAAATGCTGTCTGAATAATTCTTCTTTCATGGATTCGATTTCTTTACTTCTTTACATGACTTTAACGACAAATTTAGGGCATATTCATGTGAATCAAAACAAAATTTAGTTTTCTCTTTTAAACAAGATGTAAGAATTTTGCATCCATCTTTAGTTGACATATAATTTGACTGCTTTGTTGGGTCTATTATTCCTATTCCTCCTCTTTTAACTGGTATTTAAATGTAGAATCTCACATTCCTCATTGCTTACTTCTGAACAAAATAGATTTGGAAAAAAAGATGTTCTAATTGCTTGTTGTATAGGTAGACCTAAATACATTTCATATTTAGTTTCGACGACCCTTTGAAAAAAAGTCCATTCCATTTGTGAAGATTTACTTGCTTCAGTGTAGGCAGATTGTGGATATTTCTTAGCAATATTTACCAGATTTTCAATGTTTTGGGTCTATAAACGAATTTTTTTCAGAAATGTCTTTATTTTTCCCTCTTCAGAACTTATATATCCACCAAGAAATTGACCACCCTTACAAATTTGCATACCTGATATTTTCTTTTTAAATTGTTTGGAAATATTATGATGATTAAAAATTAATTTTGTTCTATTAATTTGAGGAAAGTACCCATATTTTGAACCTAATTTTGAGAGCTTTTCCCACCATTCCACAACATCATCAAAGGGGGCTTGTGAAGAAGAGTCATTAAGCTACCAATTGATACTATCAATATCAATGTATTTACTCACCACCATATTACAAGTGCCTGATTTTGTCCACAGCAAGGGTTGCAGTGTGGAAGAGGTGTTTGTGTGGCGAGTGCTTTACCAGACGGGTCGAGCTCTACAGGCTTGTCACTCCCACTGTCACGACGTCACAGTGTTGCATCGTGACATCAAGCCTGCCAACGTGTTTCTGGATAGCAGCGGCAATGTCAAACTCGGTGACTTTGGTCTCGCTCGCATTCTCCATAATGAACAAGTTTTTTCCGACACCATCGTTGGTACACCATATTACATGAGTCCAGTGAGTACAATTTAAAATTTAATTATTGTTGTGTGATTTTAGCGGTTGTGAAAAATCGAAAGATAAATTAAGAGTTGGTAGTCAATAGGCTGAAGAATATTTTTACATCATACATTGACTTCCTTGCCAGAATAAGACTTAAGGTTTAAATCTCGATGTCAGTTTTTAAACATTAAGTCTTGGACAGGGAGTGAAATAAAGTTAAACTATGGACAGCATCGAAACTGATTGAAAAGGATTGGTGGATTCTCTACAATTAGATATGAGGTATATATAAGATTGTGAATATGCTAATTTTGGCAAATCAAGATTTGATTTAGCTTTTAAGAGGAAGGGGAATTGTTTATAAACAACAAAGAAAATCTTTGTGGCCTATTTGGAGTGGGTATGGGCATAGACTAACCAACACCACAAGTAGACTTTCCATCCTATTGTAAATTTTGAAGCTCGTTTTTCTTGTCTAGTTCGTGTACGGGGACAAAACTGTTTTCTTTTATTTTAAGGTTGATTTAATGATTTGAGCTTTACTGTTTGGTTATATAACTAGGGGACCAGTTATTGTTTATGATTGGATCGTATTATTTAGCGAAACAAGAAAAGAACACAAAAATAACAAAACAATTATATGTTTTGTATTTAGTTCAAAGTTCAAAACGTCTCCAGTTTTAAACTTGACTGATACCGGTATGTGTATCTTCTAACCACTTCCTGAATAAGTCCTTTATTAGGACGTAAGATGAGTTATAGTCCCTGGATTCTTAGATATTTAAGCTAGTTGAACTCTATATTTCCTGTAAAAAATACCTAGTACCTAGTACCTAGTAGTAGTTAGTCATTAAATGATTAACCATCAGTCGATTCCATCTCGTTCGGATGACAAATCAATAAGCACAATAGAAGATAAATATAAAGATCAAGGGAATGTCAAATAATATTTTTTTTTACAATGTCTTAATTGATTTAGTTTTGTTTGAAATTAAATTGTTCTTGAATTGTTTTAGGAAATAATCAAAGGAAGCAAATATGATCGCAAGTCTGACATTTGGGCTTTAGGTTGCTTGGTGTACGAACTGTGTGCGCTCAGCCCTCCGTTCATTGGTGGTGACTTGAAACAGTTGGCTACAAATATACGGGAGGGGAGGTAAGTTCTGATGCCAACAATAATGCATGAACCAACTGATCCTTGATGTTGAGAAATTGAATGTGTTGAGTAACTGAATGTGCATTTATTATAATATGTTTGGATCAGAAAGATTTTTGTTTTTGTAAATAATGGCCTTTTTTACGTTAACAGCCAGGTCATTTGAATGACAGTACTGATATGCCATACAGACACCAATATATGAATGAATCCACAGACAGACTATCGGTAGGGTTCCCACTTACTAGCAAGGTTGTGTCGTCTGCATACATCACAGGTGTACAGTGAGAGCACAGGTGTACTCACTCAGATAATGTTGAACAACTCATGTTCTCACTCATTTGTTAGAAGAATAAACAGGACTGGTCCAAGATCCAATCCTTGTGGCAAACCTCAGTTGTTTGGTGAGGGTGCTGATCTTTTGTCTTGTGTTTTTCCCTTGTGTGTGTGTTTTATCTTAATTACTTGACCTTCTAGGTAGCTTGCAAACCATGCTCTGACTGTGCCTTTTACTCCCAAATTCTGCAGTTTGGTAAGGATCAGGTTTTGTCCGAGGCAGTCAAAGGCTTTACTAAAATCAAGCATAGGCCCCTAATACTGGTTACTAAATCTTTAGCTTGTATGTAGTCAATAATGAGTTCTGCTAGGTTGACTATTGCTGTGGTGGTAAACCTGCCTTTTAGAAAGCCGTGTTGGTTTTCTGAGAGTAAGTTGTGGGTGTCGCAGTGATTCATTATTTGTTTTCAACTTGAATGTTTCAATGACCTTGGAGAAGGTTGGAATAAGAGAGATCGGGCGGTAGTTACCGATTTCTGTTTAACAGCCGCTTTTAAACTTGCGGCAAACTTATGCCTGTTTCATTGCTGAGGGAAAGTGGTCTTGTTTCAAAAGGATAAATTTATTTATGACAGCAGCCAAAGGTGGTATAAGTGCCGTGCTGCAGTGTTTAAGCATTTTGGCAGATATGTCGTCAAGGCGAGCAGACGTTTTAGGTTATGGATATATTTTGATCAAATTTGTCAATTATGTTTATTTAATACTGATCTATCAACATTTGAATAAAAAACACAGACAAGTTAGACTCCATGGTGCACATGAATTTGCCTATTGATGAATATTTTACAGACTACAGCAACTCGCCGTGGGCGCATTGTTGCATGATCCCATAGTTGCGAAGTTCCGCGCTATCTATTCATGAGTCCCGTGATCCCTGAATAAAAACCCCTATTGAGTAATGATCATCGCAGTCTACCAAAAAAGCAAATTCATCCCAATTTAAATTTTGTTGTATGTATAGTAGTATATATCATTCATTAGTCAACATTTATTGACATTTTGTGCGCTTACTATGAAATATACAATTTTAAGGGAAATCTAATATGTAAGCCTAGAATTTTAGCATTCTGGAATGTCCTTAGCCATTCAATATATGGTAGAAGATAAGGACATTAGAAGATATGTGGTATCCAATTGGACTGTCAATTGTCCACAACTATCACTGGATGACAATTAATTATTTCCTAGGGTTAATGACATTACTTAGTAAGGTTGTTCTGGTTAACTTGCATCTTGTTTTGGTGACTGCATTTACACGGAACCCTAAGCGATAGGGCATCCAAAGCATTACAGAACACCGATTTATACCAGCAAAGCTTATAGGGGCCCTAAAAATATTTTGGCTGGGGGCTCCAAAGTCTTTAGCATCACCACTGTTGTTGTTAACACAAACATTCTGACCATTTTATCCATTTGTTAATTAATACTTAGTTGAAATACTGATTCTGGTATAACATTTTTTACTGATCTTGGCAATCTGATTGTTAAAGCACTCACCGATTGATAAAAATCCCTAATTACAGTGATTAATCCAGTTTTAATTATTTACTATAAAGTAAGTTTAAGTTGACAAGTCATTTTTATAATTTGTTTGCAGGTTTGATCCCATTCCGTCCGATTACTCGCAAGACCTGCAGAAGATCATAGAGCTCATGTTGAGTGTGGACCACCAGTTCCGTCCAACTATAGAGATGATCCTTCACCATCCCACAGTGGTCCTTCACGTCAGCAAGAAGTCTAGTTTCAAGTTTGGCAACAAGAGAGACTCTTTCAAAGCAGAATGTGACAAAGCCACGTTAGCACTTGTTTCTGAAAAGATAAAAACATTATCCTTGATTGACAGGGAACCGGAGGAAGTCAGCGAAGACACTTTCCATGAGAAGTGGATGATCAGACTGGAGGCTTTGAGACAGAGGGAGGCCAACTTGAGGAAGCGAGAAGACAAATTGGCTGACAAAGAAAGATTGCTCTTGAAAAAAGAGAAAAACCTGTTACACCTAGAACGGTTGTCGAGGGAAAAATTGATCAGAGCTGAGGTTTACCTGCGACAGTGTAAGGAAAATAAGTCTTCACAAGTTACAACGATTTCAAAACCTCACAAATACAAAATGATCGAAGAACTTGACACTTCCTTCAGTGCTGACCCGGGGGATACAAGTGTTCTACCGACGTCCACCAAACTAAACCCCTCTTTTGTTCCTCCACCAACTAACTTTGTGAGATCTGCCTCTGAACGGAGATGCAAACATGTCCATTTTGACAAAAGCAGTAAAACTTCAGCTCTATCAAGTGTACAAGAAGTTGGGTTCCAGTATAAGAAAGTACTTGGTGAGATACAAGTACCTACACAAAGAGTACATCACGGAAAAGCTTTAGAAGACATACAAGAAATAGAGCCAGTAAGGTTGGGGGCTTTTCCGAAGAAAGTGGAGAAAAGTTCGACCTTAAAGCCAATACTTCAGCCAACCCTCAGATGGGAAGAAGAAAGGAACATGTGGCTGGAAAACAAACGGGTAGCTTACCACAGTCAGCTGAACAAGGAAAATTATGAGCAAAATCAAGTTTGTGAGGTGAAAGAAGTAAAGAAACGTTCCTCTAAACTGTCATTGTTCAATAAGAAGCCAAGTCTACGTTAGACTCAGCATACTTGAAAGTGGTTGTGAATTGAATTTATATAGTTTCTTACTGTACCTGATATTTTATATGTATGGTGCCTGTGTAGTGTAGAAGTTTTGTACTTAAACTAACTTATTACATTTAAAATGATATTAATATATTTGTAAAGTTGAACTAACATTAAAGTGTATTAAATGTACTGAATTTCCATTAGATTAGTATGAGAGGTGTGACAAACACAAACAATTTGTATGAACCTTGCATTTATTAGTTTCAGTTTATGTAGAACATAACGTTGGTAAAATAATATAACATGCAGAACATATTTGATCAAAGATTCCAATTTGAAAGAATAATTATATTCTAAGCAATACAAGTTTTATCATTTATATTTTATAGAAAGAATCTGATATCCTCATTAAGACTATAGTATTAAAATAAACTTATTTAGGTTTAAGAGAAAATTGATGCTTGCCAACCTTGCCAGTATTAAACACGAAAGACTTTATATTTTTTTAATTTTTTTTACTTTTTGAATGTAGTATAGTTTTGATACTGTATTAAAGTGAGAAAAGAGATTAATCAAAATGTTTATTTTTTATAAAAATAAGTTTTTAATACTAGTTTACGATCATGAAAGAATAGTCTTTATGACACAAGCCTTGGCGAATGCCTTTAAAACTTCTACGAGTGTCGTAAAGGCTAATACAGTAGACTCCCTCTTATCCGGACACCTTTTAACCGGACATCGGTTTAACCGGACTACACTCTCGAATTACATCTCTCTAACCGGACAATTTTTATCAACACATTGGTTTAACCGGACCAGATCGGCAGGAAGTGGGCGGTACTGAAACGACTGTTCTCGCCGGAAAGATTTGAGACCAGTGATCAAGTGTCTAAATGCAATGCTCTCCTAAATTTAAGTCGAATATCACAGTAAACGGTCCGTTTTAACGTTTTTTTGGGGACGTCGGTTTAACCGGAAAACCCGTTATCCGGATTGGCTTTGGTCCCGAGGAGTCAGGATAAGAGGAAGTCTACTGTACGCGAGTTGCGTACACTACTTTACCTACGACTGTTTCTTAACTACTAAAAATCACTACTCATAATTTCCAAGAGAGGTTATGTTTTCATTTATAACCTCTCAATGAGTACAGTACAATGAGTATTACCAATGAGTACAAACCCTTTAAAAGCTAAATGCTTATGCAGAATAGTCAGACTGGAATTCTGCCGCCGAAATGAGCTTGCGCTTATGGTCTCCGTAGGATCGCTACTTTCTCTCTCTCTCTCTCTCTCTAAACCGATTCTTTGTCTCACTCTCTATCACTCAGTTAGCTGACATGGCCGCACGCTCGCGATAGTCTACCTAGCGGCCGCCGCGGGAACTATCGAAAATTCAAAAAAGGCATTGCGCTTCTTATAGGATTTGTATTCATTGGTATTAAAATTTTACTTCTTTTCTCTCAACACTTGAACCTCATTGGTTCAAACCTGGTCTGTAAATTAACAAGACCAATACTGTTAAGTGAATCTTTTTAATTCTAAGAACTGAATTGAAAAGGCTAGTTTAAAAAACGGTCGAAGGTAAATAAATATGATTATTGAGTAGTATATGGAAAAAAACATGTTATCCTTGTACTTAAGATAAAACCTTTCCTTAGTTCCTTACATATCACGTCCAGAATGCCATTAGTATTAGTTAAGTTTAAAATTATATAAATTATCTATTTTCAAGTCTTAAATAGTTAAGTGTTTTTTGGAATAATCAAAAGTTTGGTTCAAAGATTAATAGACAAATGTCTAATCTAGCTTTAAACCTTAAATGATTGTCTAAGTTTCCAGTTGTACCTGATCTAACAGTTTGTGTTTATATTGTTCGTTAAGTTAATAACCCTTGTAATTATTAAAATTTAAGTTTTTTTTCTGAAATCTTGCAATTTGGTTTGTGGATTAAATCAATTTATCACAATATAACAATTTATTTCATCACTTTTTCCTTTTCTAGCTTTATAGAAAGGACCACTTTAATAATAATCATAAATTAAGGTTAATTTACTCAAGGATAAATTAAATAAAAAAAATTAGTCTACCTAATATTCAAAATCAATGACACTAAGTAATAAAAGTAGAAATACTTCATCTTCTTAATCACTTGACCACGGCATCGTTTACACTTAGGAACTACAGGAACTACATGCAAGTCTGTATCGACTGGTCAGAGGCCCAACCTCGCCACACCTTTTCGCTTCCCTAGTGACTGAGGAACAGTCACGATCGTGAGCCACTCTGGTGGCCATGCATAATAAGCTCATATTCCATTTTTTTTTACATTGATGAATATTTTTGGAACAATTTAACCTCTGATTATTTCAATCCACTCTTAGAATCCAGTTCTAAGAGAAAAAACGTTAATTTGAAACTTTATATGTGCAGGACATTTATTGCAAGGCTAAGTCATCCACAAAACCAATAAGATAACCTACTACAAACTGAGTTTTATTTGGCATATGACTCTGTCTTGGCAATATGCTACATTAAAACTGACATTTTGAAAGGTAGAACACATTAACACATATTTTTGGTTTGTCTATGTTGTTGCTTATAGAATTTGACATTCAAACTTAGATTGAAAATGATGTAAAAAAATAAATTCATATCTCTACAGTGCATTGTTTTTATTAATTTCAATATGCATGTAATTAAAACAATACTCTGTTTGTCATACGTCTGTGATTGTAATTGCTATGAAGATAAATTAATGACCCTCTTTAGCACAATTAATTGGTTCATCTGTAATGGTTGTATGTATCTGAAATGTAATTCAACCAAAGCGAATTCAGGAGTGAAATATTATGATTGCCTATGAATAGGAAATACATATTTCCACTCTGTTTTTGTTAAAGCTACCTAATTAGTCCATAAATCACTATCCTTAACAGGATTGGAAAATGAAATATCAAGGACAAAGATCAATTCATTATCTTACATTTGTGACCTCTGAACTCTATAGTAACCACATAACAGTAGGCCTAACCTCAATGCAATTTTTTTGCTTTCATTTTAGGTTGACACAGAAAGGAATCTAAATATTCTTTGGAATTTTAATTAGCAATGCTTGGATCCATTATCCATAGTCATCAACTAAGCTCCAAGGGGAAATTATTTGCACCGGGCACACAAGTTATTGCCTCTAACTTTACTTAACTTGGCGCGCATTAAAGAAAAGAATGACTCACATCTCTTAGTTATTAATTACTAGCTGTTCTACCTGTTTAAGTTATGACTTTTAAATCTGATAAGTAGTGGATACCACCATTTTGGTTTTGATTAATTTTAAATCTTGTGTAGGCTGATATGAGAAAAACTGACCAAATCTTTGAATAAAACTTTGACATACATGATTTACCTTAATCTCCCTTAGTTACATATCTTTTAATTTATTATTGACATTTTAAATTTCAATTTGGAAGTTGCAAAAATACTAATTATTAAATTTAAATGAATATATTTTTTTTAATTTCACTCTTCTTTATATTAAATCACAAATTCTTCCATCTTCAGTTTCTTCACTCACAATAAATCATTACATTAGCAAAACTAAGTCAGCTGTTATAAGCTTTAGAAATATTGCTGTGCCTTATCAATACAGTCTTTTGAAATATAAAAAGGAACTATATCTAGAGGTACTATAAAAAAATGTTAAACAAATAATTTTGCATTAAAAACAGCAGACAAAACTAATATGATTATCAAAGCATCAAGGACTAAAAAATGTAATAGCAAATACAGTATGTTTCATTGCATCTCTGATTCTACTCTACAAAAATATTATAAACATCTTAAACCAGTTCTTTTAATCAGTTCCATCGTACATTTCCTTTACATTTTCACACTTACCATTAAGTAAACATAGTAACAGATATTTCATTAATTTTAGAAACAAAAGAACACTGTGTACTGCTTAGTTTTATGATATTTTCCTTGGTTTAATTTAATCAGTGGTGTGGCAAAACACAAATAACAAACGTATCAAATAAAGTAAATGTGAACTGAAAGCTATGTTAAGATAAAATAAGAGTATTTTGTATTACCATTTGATAATTAAATATAGTTACACATATACAACAGATTTAAAAAAACAAAAATCAACAACGTACTATTTAGTTATTGATGATATTCTTTAGTTAAATTAAAGCATATGTTTAGCAAAACACAATAACTTAATTTACCTAAATATACATATAAAAAACAATGTGATGTGCAAGTTATGTTAAGTTAATCTAACACATGTTAAGTAGTTAGGATTTATTTAAAGTAGCCTCCAAATGCATACAAAACAATCTATACATTGTAATTTTCATACTGTTTCCATGAAAACATATCAATAACATTATTTTCATAACTTAGACGATTTAAAAAATCCAAAGCAGAGCCGGAGTTGTAGTGGGGCCTTGAGTTGGATACAGCAACGGTTACAGAATCAGTTTTTTTTTTATATAATCATTGACATAGTTTTAGAATAAATAATCCATGATAAAAGGTTAGATTAAAATAAACCTACCTCATAGTTATGGAAAATATTATATTTAATTTCTTTGTATCAGCTGTCTGAAATTGTGATATATGCAGTTTAGCAGTTCTTCTTGTTTACATTTAAATGTCAAAGCAAATGTAAACAAACATTGTTAGTGTTCTCATTGCAGCCATGGAGACCTATCAATATTTACTTTTAAAATGTTCACATCAGAGCTTTTAAAGCCAAAGGGGCAAAGCCTACGGTCAGTATCGAAATGTGAACAGTCCTATAATGGTCCTTGGTATGGTAGGTATATTTTTGTAATATTTAAGCCCAGTTGGTTTAGTAGTTTTTGCACCTATTAGTAACACACATACAGACAGACACCATTAGATTTTTATATAATAGTATAGATATATGATAAATTGACCATAGATGATTTATATAATATGAAAATTTGGATGTCCATCCATAAACTTCTACTTGCATTTCAAACCGTACAGAGCTATAATTTTGTGTATTCCATTCTATTTGATAACATTAATATGCTGTGTGTGTATATTTCTAAGATTCCTTACTTAACATAAGTTTGGTAATGTGATGATTTTTGCTTAAAGCTTTCAGATGTATGGTAACCTTAGTACTTGTCACATAGTCAAACATCCCCGTATATCTTACAATGTGTTTGAGTACCTACTCTGTTGTGTGACATGTTGTAAGTTCCGCAGCTGATTTACATTTATCGTTCTCAGTCAGAACTGAAACCGAGTGACTCGTTACCTGAATGTCTAAGTCCGGACGCTCCAATCAAACATCAGCGCAATCAACTGGTCCAATCACCGTGGTTCCCGCACTGTCATTTCATTATGTACA